ACATATATTCTAGCATTTAGTTTTGCAAAAAAAAAAAAAAAAAAAATTTTATAGATCATTGAAGTTTTACGAATTTCTTATTTAAAATGATTGGCATGATTAGCAGAATATTCTGGAATCGATTCCAAATTTGGAAATACCCCTGACTGTATTTTACTGTGACATCTATATATATGTGGAGCTATTACTTTAGTTATTTATTTGAAACAGAGTCCTTTAAGCTCAGGAAAGCACTTTGTGTTTAACTCAGGAAAGTTCAAGACAAAGTAAATATATTAATCAGCAATTTTCGAGTTAAGTATTAAAGTGTTATTATTTACTTATATATATAGCACATGCAACCACATGCAGTATGGGGATTCCAACTAGTTGGATAAGATATCCAACTTTCACGACTATGGGGGCGATTGCGGTATCTCCTTTGATGGTTTACGGATCGTTGTGATCTTTGGATCTTCAAGCGGGCATTTATGACTTGCTCAACCAGGGAAGGGCGATTGCGGTTTTCCTTTCGAGCTATGCTTGCGGGACTGTTGTGGTCTGCTGTGTTCTGCTAGTACTAGAGTATTTCCTTATATATTCGCTAATTTTTCTCTTTCACTAGGACCATTACCAAAGACCTGACATTGAAAAACAACAGCTGGAAAAAAAGAATGCTTTGCAAACGGTATGATGTTATGTTCTATTGACGGCTGTCTTGTGCATATTTTTATTTTTAGTTATCTTGTTTTTTAGTATGAATGTCGAACAAAGATCAAACGAAGGACACAGGTGATGATGAAGGATTTGGCTGATGAAACAGTCTTAGAAAGTTGAGAAATGTGCACTACAACGAGAATATATCAAGAATCAAGCACTGTAAGATCTGTAAAAAAAGTAGGAATTGATGTTTCCAGTATTTTTGTATTTTATAAATAATTGGATTTTGAATAGACTCGAGAGAAAAATAATCCAGCAAGAGTAGAAATGATCGAAAACGATGTAATCATCCAATATCCCTATTTTAACATTTGAATCCCTTTACCACGTGTTGTAACTTTATCCCCTCGACATGACTCATACACATAGGCTTAACGACCACAAGCTTCCGATCTGTCAGATGCTTTCCATGTCCCATAAAATCGAGGTAATTATACTTATGTTAATGTTCAGCCATGAAAAAAGTATTTTCCCTAAACTTTCCGAGCGTATGTAGGCAGAAACTGGTATTTTTAATTTCGAAAGAGATGAATTGGATACATCAGATCATGAGTTAAATTATATATGTTGTTTAGCTGTAAATGTTACTATTCTCATCACATCTACTCTTGAAGTAGAGATTGATGATTAAGACCAAGAAGAGGTGAAGGATGTGACCAGTGGCGAAGGAAGTGGCCAAAGTGACGAAAAAAACAAAGTAAATCTTCATTGGTAATTTTAAACATTTTTTTTTTACGAATAACAAAATTTATGCTTTTCCCGTATAGGTTAGACTAGGCAAGAAAAATCGAGAGGAAATTGATACAGCCTTTAAGTCAATGGATGAGCAATACATGTGGAAAATTTCGACTGGAAGATTCATCGAAAAAGAACTATATAGACTAGGGCAAAAACTGGAATTTGAGCAGTTAGTATTCATGCATGAGATTATGTTCGTGTAGGAATAAGTTTATTAAATTTTGGTCTTATTCCTTTTTTTTAGTGCTATCCATTCGTTTATTACAGACGCTGATGATGAATTAATTTCATCGCATCTTAATGATACAGAACTTGAAGAAATTGATTATTTCACGTACCTGATCTCCCAGATCAAATCGCTGAATTTTTATATGAATTCGTTGGCAAGGTAATAATTAATTTACATGTTAATGACAAAAATGGATGTATTGAAACAAAGTCACCAATCCTTTTCCTATTGTAGACTAGCTTAAATGAGATTAGAGAGACCATAAAGTCAAAGATGTTTGGTATCAATTATGATCACAAAAACTACCACGATAAGGATTATATAATCTATGCACTCATTGTAAGTATTTTTGTTCTTTGTGAATAATTTATTAAAGCTCTTTAGATGCATCGGCAGGACTAACTAAATTTATTTATTATTTTAGAGTTCGAGAAGTTCAAGGTGGGAGCATGAAAAACACGAAACTGGAAGTTTGGTTCAATTGTCACATTTGGAGCGTAATCTTTGACCAAGCTTTTGGTGATATTAATGTGATATCCGTCGTCAGGTAATTTTAAAAATTATATATTGTTTACTTTGATGAATCTGACAATGTTTAACAACATCAAGGGGCGAGAGTACAAGTTTGGCAATAGCTTATCGAAAAAATATGAAAAGAAAGTCTGAAAAGAGACGAAAAATGGGTCGCAGGGGTGATTGGATCGTGAGGTCCGTCACTAATGGTGACAAACATGAGTTTGGAGCAGGCGAAGCTGGAAATGTTTGGACGGATGATCACAGAACCAAGTTTCTTGAGGCGGGTTTGAAATTACCTAAAGTTCTTAAGGATATGCTGGTAAAGTTAATGAAAAAAGTAGATTGGAATAGAGAAAGGTGTGCAAAATGCAGACGGTTGGAATTGTCCATGCAGTTATGTTCCTTATATATGAATTATAACTCTGCAATAATTCAACTAATGCCTTAACTTTGGGATTGATGATAATGATGGTTCATCTTGACAATCCACAAGGCTATATATGTAGAATTTGACGTGGTAAAGTGATGGAGGTATCGGATAATCCAGAAAAATTTCCCTCTGTTCTAAAAATACTAGCATCTGTTTTGAACTTAAAGGTTGGTTAGTTTTGCTTGAATATAATGAATATATTTAAGAAACTTGTCAGGTGGTTCATGATATTTCCAACAAACTTTCAACGTATATTTTTTGTACAAAAAATATCAAAAGGAAGAGTAAAAATTCATTTCCTTTTAAAAATAAATTAAATGAATTATTACTTAAATATGCAGAAGAATTCGGATTTGTAGAGAATAGTCAGAAAAAGCAATTCCCCTACCATCATCATCACCATCACCACCACCATTACCATCATCATCATCAGCAGTAGCAGCAACAGCAAAGTAAAGAGGAGCAAGATGATCACCAATACTACTATTATCATCAGCAGCAGCAGTAACAACAAAATAAAAAACAATTAAAATCTTCAAATAAAAAAAAATTCATTATATGAAATAAAAATTATTTAAAAATATCAGCAATTTAAAAAAGAAAATCCTGATAATAAGAAGTTAGATTTAAAGGAATATCTTTTGGTTAAAATTAAGATTGAATATTATGTTCAATTTAAAATTAATTTTAATATAATAAATTTATTATATAGAAAATTACCATTGTGTAGATAAAAATGGTAAAACATTATTTCGATTATTTGAAATACCTAAAGAAAAGATATATTTAATTATAAATGCAGATAGCGTAGTTTAATCATATTGGATTTATATATATAATGATCTATCTTATGCTTCTTTAAAATTTAAGAGATTTAATTATTTATTTTTAGGTATTATTATACGAGTTGATTGTGAAGTCTACTGACTGAAAAATAGACTTCAACGCATATAGCAACGTTTTAGATATCTGAAGGATAACAATTTATGTTAACAATCTTAAAGTCTTGTTAGCGTCAATAGAATTATCAAAATAAATCACTACAATCAATGTATTTGTTTATATAGGAGAACAATAATGATGGATTGGGTTTTATAATACAAGTTTAACTAATTAAAGTTATCAGGTAAAAGGTTGGTTTATTAATTAGAGAAATTAGGATCAATACCATTCATTAATTTAAATAAGCTCTTATTCGCAAACTTACAAAATTAAAGAATAAACAATAAACTAAATTATATCAAAATTATATTAGAAAAACTACCTAATAATTATTCTCAAGACTATCTAGCTTGATTTTAGTAACTGAGTAATTATCTGACTT